TGCTCTGGAATAAGCCAGCTACCATATCCTAAGGATACTCAATCAGATTTGTGAAGAAGCCTCCTTGCAGAAGAACCAACTGGCCAGCACCAGATTGTCATTTAGCATGAAAGTGACTGGAAAAAGTCCTGAGTCCTAGTCAAACTATAGCCCAACCTGACTACTGCCTTCAACCTCGCAAGAAACACAAAGCAAAAGACACAACTGAGCTGTTCTGAGATTTCTGAATCATAGAAACTTTGAGAGTTTCACTGAGTTCTATAATAACCTGTTAAAAAGCAATTCCTACCTGCTAGAGAATCCTGCAAACCCAGAAGGCAACAGAGGCAGCATGATTGCTTTGTGTTTGGAAACTGTCTTACAAAGATTATAGACACCCCTTCCTTCTTTGCGCACCTACTAAACATAAAATCTACCAAATGACAAGAAGGGGTATGGGAGTAGGTAGGGAGAGGACTTTGCTGAAAAACCTGGGAAAGATTATCGCTAAGAAAAAACAGACGTTTCATTGTATCTAGGAGAAGGGTGTGGTTTGAAGGGAGATGAAGGTAGAAAGAGTAGTTTTTCTCTATAATGCTAGTGTCCATGCTTGATTTTTGGATAGCATTGTCTGGGGAAGAATGCCATGCTGTGTACAGGTCATGTTAATTAGGTGAAATGAAGTCATTGGAAAGCAAGTCTTAGACTCAATTCACCTACTTGTGGCTCACAATAGACTGGGCTTGAGAAAAAAACCTGTCCATTTTCAGCCATTAAGCTATTGCAACAGACATTTGTTCAAAGTTTCTTATGTGTTAGTCATTAAGGGATAAAATTAACTGTACTAATTCATCTAAACTTTATTGAATTTTATATTCATATGAAGGTACTGTTGTAGGCATTGAATTTCAAAGTCGAGCTAAACAAAAGAATTCATAGTGGAATCAACATTTAAGAAAGAGATTTGGGAAGAAAGATGTAGGAAGAGGGGAGCTAATAAGTAAATACACATCATTAAATAATGATTTCATGTCATGGAAAAATTCAATGACAATAAAACAATG